ACACTGGGTTCATGTACTATCTGTGTTCATGAGAACAGCATTCACGAACCTAAGCAATCCTTAGCCACAAATGGCAGTAATATGGTGATAGTTCCACTACATTAAAAAAGCCACAGCAACTCTCAGTTGTCCACAATGAAAGAAAAATGAACATGCAAATGAAATACACAGGCAGTCCACAGGGTTATTTCAGCAAGTGATAACTGATGGAAAGTCCACCGATAACAATGGCCGAGGGGAGTTAATGGTGAACCTTGGTGTCATCCTGTGATGGTGGTGCTTTTAAAACAGCCCAACTGACTTTTAAAAATCAGAAAGTATAAAAGGACTGTGCACTGATAAAGTCTTAATATGCCCTTAGCTACATGATCTAGTCTTAATAACTCCACTTCAGGTGTGGTTTTGAGACAGACAATTCATTTCTGTCGCCCCCGGTGTTTGCAAAACACACTTTCTGTCCACCCTGCCTGTGTAAGGAGTCATGGCCATAGACCGAGCATATCCACAGGAAGAATCAATTTCAATGAACTTTGAAGTAAGATGTGAGTGACAGGTGGTGCATAGCAAAATGCCCCCTTCCCCTGCACGGACAAAGTGCTGCCAATGGGGATTTTCTGTTCACCAAAGAAGGTGTCAGTGTTTGCAAGTGCGTGATGAGAGGGGCGGTGGCGTGTGTGTGTTCCAATTGTACATGTGTCAATAAGCTATATGTAGGAAGATGTTTTATGGGAGTGCCAAGTATTTCTAGAATGTTTTAAAAATACCTTTGTTTATGAAATACCACTAATAGTAAGTAGGGAAATTTTATATAAATCCTCACAATATCTCCCCCTTAAGGGATATTATATGTCTAGAATCTAGAGCATTTTAGGTTCAGTATAGAGGCAAAGGTTTTTTTTTTTTTCCCCATCTGTTCATAAAATATATCCAAATTTATTTTTTCTCTAATTCGTCCTAATTAAACGTGAGGATGTAGAATAGGTTTAAGTCTTAACTGGTATCTAGAAAAAAAGTCACATAAAATATAAATAACTCCAAAAGGCTGGTTTGAATATTCAAAAGTTTAGCATACCAAGGAGTTTTCTCCATTCCACTGATAGACAGCTAAAGTGCAGGTAGCATCCACTTACAGGCTGGACTGTGGACGATGAACCATTCAGAGTGAGCAGAAAGGCCTTCTGGGTCTAGTGCTCATGTAGCACCCCGACATACCACGCTGAGTGTCCACACAAAGAAAGTTCCCAGGGTCTGTCACGAAGACTAAAATTTAGACAAAGACAGTTCCCCAGACAGATGGACCAACTTGCAAGCACACCAAAAGATATTTGATTGATCATTCCAATATTATGATGAAGATTAGCAACAAACATTAACTTTTCAGTCTCAGATAGTTTCGGTCATGTTTTTAAGATCATCCATTTTTCATATGCACGGTGAGGCTTGATAGAGTTTAGATACATTTTAACACCGTCCCCAAAGTGCCACACAAGTAACTAAAAAACCCCAGGATAAACTTAGTGATCCACTAAGATAAAGGATGTCAATGAACCACTAAGGAGATAACACTGAAGTTAATGCTGCTTAATGAAAGTTCCATTAATAGTGGAATGCATTCTTCTCTAAAATCATTGTTGTCACAGACATAATTAAAATTAGAAGCTTAAGTTGGCACCTGAAAAAGAAAAAGTCAAATTGCTGAATGAATGAATCTGGATAGGAGTGAAGTAAGTGAAATAAATGCATCTCTAATTGAGCACATGGATGTCTTGCGTGAGTTCAGTTGTAATTTTGAAGAACGTACATTTCACATTTATCAGTACAACTGAGGCATCATAATAGGTCCCTTTCTAATACAGGCTTCAGCATTTATTTGTCTGGCAGCGAGCAATACTAAACTTTAAGTGTTCCCAAGGAGGAACTTCAAAAACCTCTTGCTCCTTGTAGTCTTAGAAGCTCACGATGGCAGTAGATGCTGTTTGAAGGGGGGCGGGGGAGACAATGGGTAATGGGGCCATGGTTCTAAAACAGTTCTTACTGGAAGCCCATAGAAGTGATGCTTATGGTTAACTTGCTTTCTTGGGACTGGGGACGCCTCATGAACCTCCCACACCCATTCACAGTTCAAGGTGGCTGCTTAAGGTGCTCTAAGAAAGGAAAGGGAGGAACCGACATCAGAGAGCTCTTGCGGGTGTTTTTCTGAAGCAGTTCTAAAAGCAGTTGCATGGGCAAGGATGCTCAGGTGACCACAGCGGAAGGGGAGGACACGCTTAAAATGCTAACTTGGCTGCATCAGAAACAATGAGAAATGATGTCTAAGACCCGCAAACACATTTTTAAACATGTGTGTTTTTAACCCCTATTTGTTTGTAAATGGATAGCGTTTGTTTTTAAACATCTTCTTAGGTACAGATTGAGCCAGGCCATTAGTCAGAAGGGCCTACTCATATTTAGGCTGATGGCAGGAGATGCAGTGTGCATTTGTACATATGTTGAAAGAACCCCAGGCTTAGCGTTAGGATGTATAAGCTACACAGCTCAAGGGTAATAGATGACCGGATATCTGGTTTTCATTTGCCAAATTTGATTTTACAACCAAGACATCTTGGTGACATTAGGAACACCCATTCTTCTGGTGTCAAAGCAAGAATACAGGCAGCATTCTCCTTTATCTTAGTGACAAGTCTCTCCGGAGACTTTTACTGAATTATTTGGAATACATTACATAGCAGGGTGAGAGTTTTAAAACTAAAAATCAACTGGGAAGACTGTTTCCATGGGGGTTTGTATAGGTGTTATGGCATGTTCTGGGGGCAGTGACATCAGGGTTACTGCTGGCCCCCTGCCCACTGACTAGCTAGCGCATAATGGTCTAGCTCTGGGGTCCCTGACAAACAGTAAGAGTGGACACTTGGCTTCGGTCAGTCAATGTCAACCAATTCCCCTTCCTCTCTTACCCACCCTCAGTTTATAACACGCACAGTATCTTCTTAAGAAGCCATTTAAAGTACACAAGCAAGGCCTTTTACCCTCTGGATATATGCAAGGAAGGAGGCTCAGGCTTCCTGGCCTCCTTATTTTATACTAGATCGTGAAAATGAGTTTGACAGCTGTAGTATTCAACATGGCCATGTTCTGGCCCAGGTCATAGCAACAGGAAAATGCCATATGAATAGATAACTATGACAAATCCTGCTTTATGCTCCCAGTTTCTCTGTTTCCCTTCACTGGAATGTCTTATGATTCTTTAATCTAGGTGTCATTAAAATGTAATAAGACATTAGTGTCTTCTTATCTTTGCTGAGCCAAGGCTTGCTCCTCTGGATGACAAAATGGAAACTTACCACTAATTTATAAGTTTGAAACTAAGCGGACAAAAAGAAACCATGCACATACTATCCTGCCAATAACCTTGCCCAGCAAGCTTGCATTAAATGTTTTCACAAGCTATTTCTCTGTTTTTCAAGGGGAGGATGAATCTTTTACACAACCACCAAAGAGGAAAAAGTCTACCTAACAAAAGTGTCTTGTCCCTTCACTCTGGGTTGCCTGATGTCTTCAGAAGATCCTAGCTGCAGATACTTCTTGTGCTAGGCACAGAGGGTAAGATTTGGTGATGGTATATCATTTCTATATGGTCTTTAGGAAACCTAGAAGAAAAGACTAGATGTTCAAGTGTCCCCTCCCACTCTCCAACCACCATGGCGCTTCAGTTTTTTATCCCGCTCAGCGCTGGAATCTTCTATGTAACTTGAGCATGCTTAGAGGCTCATATGATGAGAGCATGCTTTAGAATTCTAAATTCTATGAAAAAAAAACATGGGCATAAAAATGACCTTTTCCTCAGTGTGGGAATCACAGGAAAGTCACCCAGTTGTTTTCAGAGTAGGTGCAAGAGCTTGGCTGAAGTAGGAGCAGAGAGCAGGGGCTGGGAAGTCAGCCTACCTTTCCTGAGAAAACGGGTCCTGACCAAGCATCGGGCCCATTTCTCTTCCAGAATCGGTGCTGGCTCTGGAGAGCCATGGCAGGGTTTTGTGGGTGGGATGAGTCAATAAGTGATGGAGGCCACCCAGGGCATGGAATTCTATGGCTCCTCACACCACTCCTGGTCACTGGGCTTCTTGTGCAACTGGCATTAAGTAGAAGCCTCCTCACGGTCCTCGCTCTCACATAGGCAGACATGGGCAGAATCAGCGGAAAGCTAAGCCCGGCAGTAGGGTACTCAGATCTCAATTGCTCTTTATCTAGATCCATCACATTAATATTGCTGACTTGGAAAACTCGAAAGGGCCTTAGAAACATTTCATTTTCTTTTCTACTTTTTTTACGGTTTGTAGCTCAGGCCTACTTTCACTTGCCTTCTGCCTCAGCCTTCCGGGTGTTACTGCACCCATCCCCTTAATATTTTTAAGGGTGTGTTGACACCCTTCAATTATTATTAGTGAAAGTACAATATACATTTCCTAATAGTAGACTGCCGAGACCCTAATGGGGTCTCCAATCAAGAGCAAAAGTCCCACTTCCTTTTTAGCCAAACTAAGTTTCCTGGCATCTCCCCCTGCTCACAACACACACACACACACACACACACACACACACACACACACACACACACACGGTCCCTAAGTCATCATCCATACAAGTGAGAAGCATGATTTGAATCCATGGCACAAACATTATTTGCAGTGAAATTATAGACTGCGGTTTCAGCAATAGCTTAATTGAGAAAAAAGAAATTGCAAAAAACCTTCTGAAAGACAAATAAAGAAGTTACATGCAAGTACTGGGCGTTTATAGATGAGCGATCCTTACAAACGTAGATCGAGTTTGCCACATGTTAACACAGGAAATTGCTCAAGATTTGAATGCATATATATGGGCCACTGACATCACAGACTCCCTTCAGATAATTGTTAGGCAGTAAAAGTGAAGGCTACTAGACCATTATAAACGCTATTTCTTGGCGGCTCCGGAGCCGGGGTGGAGCTCCTGTGTGGGAGACATTAGCAGCCACAGTTGGGCTGCGGAGGGGGAGGCGTTTCCTTGAGTCTTGTGCTCTGCTTTGCTGCGGTGATGGCTGGGTCGGTCTCCAGGCTCTCTGACATTTTGTCACAGATGATGTCCACCAGGCGCTCAAATGTTTGCTTCACGTTGACGTTATCCTTGGCGCTGGTTTCGAAAAACTCAAACCCTGGAGGAAACAGAAACAGCTACGTCATTTCTCGCTCTTGAAGCTCGGTGGACTCAGTCAGGGTTTTCAGTGGTGATGGGAGAATCTGTGGTTTAGATGAAGGAGGCAGCTGGACATGGACTGCTATCCACTGACCGTGAGCAGCGGGATTGATGACACTCATCCCGTTTGTCACCACTGGGTCATTTATGGTACCAGCAAGGGCGAAGAGATTTTATAAAAGGAACTCAAGACTTAATAAACATTGAGGAACTCAAGAGTATCATTAAAAACAGTATCGTTCCCCTAGTGTTGGTGCACGCCTTTAATTCCAGCACTTGGAAGGCAGAGGCAGGCAGATCTCAGAGTTCGAGGCCAGCTTGGTTGATAGTGAGAGTTCCAGGACAGCCAGGATGTTACATAGAGAAACCCTGTCTTGAAAAACAAAAACAAAAACAACAAAACAACCCTTGGCAGCCCAGTTGCGATAACTCCTTGCTCCTGCCCCTGTTGTGATCTTATATAACGAAAGGTTTAGAAAAGACTGTGCTTGTCCTACGGAGAGGACAGTGAGGTTCCCAAACAATCATGATCTTTTACCCTGTCTGTCCAGAGGCTGCCCAATCATGGACAGGCTTCATGTACAGTGTCTGACAGGACACGAGGTGGCGCTAAAGAGTCACAGGAATTACCTTAGGCCTGTTGCAACATCAGGAGTTTTGAGCTGGATGTTAATCCGACAGCCCTGCAGGTCTTTGTAATGCTGCTGTAACTTTCGTGGGGCTGACTGCTCCCTGACCTGTCTGTCTATGGCAGTCAAGTTTTTGAATCAATGGGGAAGGAAGCAATACATTTAGAATGAACAGCAAAATTGCTTGAGCACAGGAACTGTGGGGCCTATAGATTCTCGCTTCCCAGATGTGCCTGGCTGGCTGGAGGCAGCCTCAGCAGGAAGTTCTGCACACAATGGTGTCATTCCATTGTTTACATTCACATTCCACTGGCTGTGCTTGCCAGTTAGTTGCCATGGCAACTTCCCCTCTTGGCCAGCCAGGGATTGGTCTGGTCCAAGCAGGGGTAGGAGTGGGGGTGGAGGATGTTGATTTAGGATGTGTTGGGCAGAGCCCAGAAAGCCTTTTCTAATCCATTCTCAATTTTACACCCTATAAATCCTTCTGGTTACATCTGGTCTTATCTCAGAGGAGACACAACGATTCAAAATTATTAAATCCAATGATTTTTTTTTTAATGCCTGACTTCTGGGATTAAAATAAAAAGAATAGCTTAATACTTGTGTCTATGTCCAAATCCCCCTGATAACTAAACTGCATGCTTATTTTCTTGAGAATTGGAAGAAAAACCAAATGATTGCATTTTAGCTGCTGCCCTGATAAGATCCGTTGAGTTACAGCAGGACTGGGGAGGTCGTTCATTGCTAGAGCTGGGCGTAGGAAACAGGGCCAAAGCTATTGCAGTCCATCTTTGGCCCCCATTTCTCTTTTACTGTTTCATGTCTGCACAATGACCCTGTCATTCTCTACAGTGGGCGCTTCGTCGATAGACAAGGCCAGGTGGTGCGGACAGTACTGAATTCCCCAGGGCTGGGCCATTCACTCTCTCACTGGGCCCAGACAAAGGCAGGGCAGGTACCCTCTGAACAATGTCCTAGCTTAATCACCACAGCTCTTTGTCTGTTATTTTCTAGGTGCTGGTGTTATTGCCCCAGGGTCGATAGAGACAGACATCATTCCAGAATGTTCCAATAACACAGTAAGATCTTTTGATGAAACTTTGGAGGAAAAATAGTTCTGACTTTGGGACAAAACTGGGACAGTTACAGTTTGAGTTCTATCATCGTGTCGGCCAGCACTTCTGTTACTCTTTTATCTGGGCATTAAGTCACCTTATGCTGTTGCTGTGTGTGTAAGTTGGGAACAGTGACGTGATCTCTGATCACAAAATCAAAAATGTCCCGAACTCCCCCACACTATTGTGGGATCCTAGAAATATGTCGTTACTCGGGCAGCGTGACTCAGGCAGAGATCTGCATTCTATAACAACACTCATCCCTCCAATACTCAAGGAGGCCATACTACGATGAAGGTGTGGGCATTACCAACAAGTACCTTGGCAGCCTCCATTGTTTTTGTTTATTTATTTACTGCATGTGATCATGTATATCTGTGAGTATGCATGCATGCAGCATATGAGCAGAGGACAGACCACAACAAGCAAGAATCTATTGTCTTCTACCAGGTGGGTCCGGGGATTGAACTCAGGGCACCAGGTTGTCCGCTAGTTCCTTCATGCACTGACCCACCTTGCTGGTCCGTCATACTAGATCGGATACTATTAGCAAACCGTGGGTTCGGTGCTCACTTTCACGATTTCTGATCTCTGCTTTGCCTGTCTTGCAGTGTGGTTATGACTCTCAAATAGGAAAATGTGGGTGCCGAACAAGCTGGTAACTGTGTCGACAGCACAGCAGTGTTGGTAATAACCAACTGACATTTATCTAGTGGTTAGCAGATCACAGAGAATATTGCAAACACTTGGAACATTTTTAACTCATACCATCCATGAACTGGCACCACTAATTTTCTAGTTTTCTGATTGAGGAAATGAAAGCCCAAACTGGATGAGTGATTTGCTTAAACATTCCCTTACTCGCCTGGCAAATGGTGGAGGGAGAGTATCGATTAGTCACCTACAGATTTCCCTGCCTTCCCATGTGCCCTGAAAAAGGGAACTACCATTTGTTGCTGTAAATGATCAGTTCTAGGGTAATTAGTAATTCCCATATGCTTTCATTAACTTAAATAATTTGAAGGTGGTTAAGTAGACCTAAGAGCGTCAGGAAAACTAAACAGTACACTCTTCTAATGATTTAAAACACCCCATGAGATTGTGGAAGCCACATCTCCTTGTGACCTAGAGGCACACAGCTGTGAAGGTTCTGACACTGCTCTTCAGCATAGTCTACCATGAAGTGTGGTGTTTAAACAGTGGGAGCTCAAGACCAAAGCCACAGCTTTTAGTGCTTTGTTACTGAGTTGTTAGATCCAGGGGAGATGGGCTTTGTCACACAGCCCAGACTTCTGGGTCCACTGGAATGACAAAGGTGTGCCCTCTGTGTGAGAAGCCACTCACGTCCCCTACCTGTGTCCAAACGGGTTTAAAAGTACGCCCCACCTCACAACTACCAATACAAACACTGGATCCTTTATTCTTTTAGGAGCTCCCTGGGCTCTCTTGGTTTTACCTCCCACCATCCTGGTAGTTTTACCTCAGCTACCTCAACATAAAGGCTTGGTCTCAGAAGCCTTTACCCACAAAGATCAGCAGAAGCCACACACCAGTCAAATAAGAGACCCGAAGGGTCTTAGAAAACCCCGGAGATTGCTTCCAGTTCACTGCCGAGGAATGTGCAGCTCATCAAAATCCAGTAAGTAGACCAAGGCCGCATAGAAAGCCTGGTAGATCCCCCGACAAGTCTACCACTTTAGCTTCTTGCCCTTGACACCGAATGCTCTACAGTTAGTAGCTTGAACACCATGCGTCTTCATCAGCTGATCAGTGGACACTCTTAGTGAAGTATGGGGGACCTGGCCATGCTTTCCCATTCCTCCTGTAGAAGAACATTCCCAGCTGCTCTCTGGCAGAGGCAGCATCGCTCCAAACACAGAAGAGCTCTTGCTCCAGACAGCACATTCCTGCCTTGGGATTCTGGGCCTGACCTAGAAAGAACAACTCCTGGCCTTTCTAGAGCCCATGATGGGCATACCCAGACACTTATTAAGTCCAGCTCATTTGCTGTGACCTCTGTACACATGAAAGAGCAGCTGGCTATCTGGGAAGACACTGTTGGTGAGCAGGGGCATCACAGAGCCCGAGCCTTGTGGCTAGGTCTGGGTTGCTGCCATGGTTTTCTTTCAGTTCCTTGAAGGTCTATGGGACAAAGCTCAGAGAAGCCTGGTACTTTTTCAGACTCCTGCATACAGGGAAGCAAGCAGGGCCATGAAGCTAAAAGCACTCTGCTCAGAGAGGTGGCAGGCTGTCACTCCGCCATGAGGATCACTGAAATGTCACAGCACCCTACTGTGATTGGCCCGCATTAGCAGTAATAATCACAGTTCCAGGACTGAGTATTGAAGCATTTCTTTCTCAGACCTTTGTCCAGTGAATTTATTCAAATTTGTAGATGATGTTCAATTTTCCCCATGTTAATAGTTACACCATATAGTAAAACTCTATGTTCACTACAGCAGGTTTTGTTTGTTTTTAATATTCATATTCACTCCAGGAAAGAAATCCTGACCACTGTTTGGGCTCTTTGACCTTTTAGATTTGAGAGAAAAATCATAGTGTGCCCCCTCCCCTCTAAGTCCTAAAACTATGCCACAGTGAATCATTTTATTTCTCCCAGGCAATAGTTTATTTACATTCTTGATGCTTTCCCATCTCCCATTTCTTCATTGAGTTGCAGCTACAGGGTCTCATCTTCACTTTCCCTACAGAGTCAGAGGAACCAGAGTTGCAAGGAAAGGTCATGGTGTTGCCAGGCAGGTGACAGTTGGCCAGAAGTAAGGGCTTCAAAGCAGCAGGACCAACTGTCATGTTAGCTGGTCCCGTGTTGGGACTCAGCCAGGAGACAGACTTTAGGAGGGGGCGGGATGAGGGTTTGACCCACTTCCCTGAAGAATGGCCAAAGAAAGCAGCCGGGAGCTTGAACAGGAGCTCAGCCCAAGGCTAATGTTGATAAAAATAGACAACAACAACAAAAAAAATGGACAGGTCTTTCATGCCCTGAGTTCCAGCCTAACCAGATGGTGGGGTTCAGTACCTATGCGAGGGTCATCATAGAGTGTTGATGAATGTTGGCCGACATAGAAAAGGTCTCCTTCCTGCCCTTAACCTTCTTCCACAGTCTAGTTTAGCCTCCTTCAGAGTCAGGAATGCTCAAATTCCATCACTGGCAGGGGCTGCCTAAGCTTGCTCCAGTGCAGTCTGTGCAGGCTACG